GGGCCACATCAGGGAGATAAAGTTTTTGCTCCTCGTCAAAGCCGGGCTGTCGGACTTCAATCTGAGCCCTGGGTCGGTGACTTGATTCTCATCGCCCAAAAGCATAGGTTCGCTTTGAGTGCGTTCTTGCCGCATGCCGAACCCCACTTCACATGCATAGGACTTCAAAGTCTCTAACCTTGAGGTCAGAGTGATAATGCCTGCCGAGAGTTGGAGGGGAACCACGTGAAGTTTTGTTCGATGCCAGGTGTGTTCATGCTTGTTCACAGCCAACCCCACCCAGCCATTCTTGTTTTAAAACCCGCATGTAGCCCATCCTCACTATTCTGTTGTCCCATCCTCTTGACTTCCCAGCTTCTTTGCCACTATGCAGCCAAAATTTCACGAATTAGACTCAATCAGCCACATTACCTTTCACCTCCGCGATGACGATCAAGATACACTGAAGACCTTGAAAGCTAAGATGTTAGAACTTACGACTCAAATTTCGGTCCTGGAAAAACTCGAGCCCGTCGCAAGGCTCATTCGTCGTAGAGAGCCGCTGCCGCTGCGGAAATTGAGTTTCAATATCAGAAAGCTATCAGACAGCAACTCGAAAACTGATTCTCGTGGGGAATCTCGCTGGGCTAGACTCCAAAGCCTGGGATGTGAGGCGGCTGTTTTCTGCATGGTCACTTTTAACGGATTATCTACATTGGCGGGTGAAGAATTTGAATGGCTTCTGGGTAATGTGCGAAGATACATGGCCGTCCAGAGCCTTCCTTGCGGCTGGATAGCTTCAGAGCAGATTAGGCAAGTAATGGCACGGGTACCAAGGCAACCAAACACACTTCCCTTTCTCGAAAGTATGAGCCGCCTCGAGCCGCATCAGAATTTTAATGTTCCAATGTTAACATAAATCTAGGTTACCATATGCTCGAATTCCAGACTAGAGATACAAACGAGCGTGATACGCCTGAAGAGGAACCCGCAACGAAACGCATACGTATTGATCATGCAGAGGAAGAAACCTGCGAAGCTGAATTACAGGCTTGTGCCAGCTTCGGAATGGAAAACGAGCGTCGAACACCGCCTTCAAATGATGGAAAGAGAGGTAAGAAAAACACAATTTAAACATATAAACAGAACTAATGCCAATTAGAAATGAAATATATGTTCACAAATGCCCCTGCCAGCGCTATTTCAACCTTGCCAGAACCGTTCAAACAAGCCGTCGAGAACAGCCGGCTGTGGAAGTGGGAAAGAAGCCAGGGTTTGGGACAGACGGGATGTCTGGCTAGTTTGTTCCTAAAGGATGTGATGCAGGATGTGTCATTCACCATCTGGTGCGGTCATGACGAGGGATATCATCTGAACAGTGTATTTAGGATGCGCCGTGAAATAACCTCCTAGACTTTGAAATACAAGCTGGCACCTATAACATAGCAAGTGTACCCAGGAGGTACCTCATATTCTGTGTACTCTTGTATATCTTCAACTGATGTCTTCAGATGATCGGTTTGCTGGTTATAGATCGAGAGACGTTCGCCTTTGAAACATATTGTTCTGCTGTTGACTTCGTCCGGAGGGAATCGATGGCTTGGGATGTCCTTTTCTTCCTGTCCTGCAAGGACCTTTTCGCCTCTCTGTGGAGACTGTACAGTTAGTGATAACATCGCACGGAATGAATTCGGAGGATATCTGACCTCCATGGTAACAGGTAAATCCTGGACAGCGCTCCAACTTTCGTATATAGTTCGACGTTGGATAGTGTGAGGTGTTGACACTGCTATCGTAGCAGCTTCCGAACCAAGGCGTTTGATTGTTTGGAGGTATCAAGGAGTGAATGGAAGCCTCTAGGTTTGAACACTGACGAGACGACGTGACGAGCGACAAGAAATAGGTGCAAACCCAAAACCACTTGGTCGATGGATGAGCTTGCAACGAGCAACAGTGGGTAGAACAGGCAAAGAAGAAAGTGATCAGAGTCTCTGTCCCAAGAAAAAAAAAATCCGCCCCTCACTTCGTCAGCGACGTTTTGGAGGGGCTTAGGTTTCCATACCCAACACTGCCCAATAATCGAACACATATAGTCTCGTGATCAGCAGCCCGAGACCAGCAGCGCCTTGGGTGAGACTTCTATTTTAAATCGTACACTCTATGCTCAAAGTGTAACACCCTGGGATGGGAACGGGAGGGACCTTCTGGACACCAACACCGACCGGATCAGCTGGCGCTCATGTTGGAAGCTTGGATGTCATGTGCCGGGCCAATAAAAGAAATGGGAAAATCTGTCCTGGAAGGAGAGTGGCGAGTGGCGGAAGCTGCTTAGTCAGGAGCCGTCCCAATCACCCAGATGCGGAGTATTCGGAGGTTGCTGCCTAGGCTATTGTACACGTAGTAGGGATATCACGTGTCGGGGGCAGCAGTATTACCTAACAGAATTCAGTGTGGGAACGTCTTGTGCGCTCATTCCGAAACTTAGTGCTAACAACGACACCATCAGACATCCAATGCACCACTCACTCATCTCCGGCCAGCAGCGACATAAAGCTAGCTTTCACCCCGCCAATCGACATGGCCTGTTCAAGGCAAGCCGCCCAAACGGATATGAGGCAACAGTTTGTCCAAAAAGATCAAGGTGCGTCTCAATTACACTCAATTAAATACCCACCACTAAATTGTCAGAACGGAAACATCATCAAGGTGTTTGCAAAACGAGAACGCAGAAAGGCCTTCGAAAAAGTGCACGCCTAAACCCGGAGTGCGGCAACCATAGTGAGCACAAACACCCTCCTCCCGTGAACAAGACTCCATGCCGGGAAGTATGTCATCCCGCCTCACAATAAATGTAAGCTTAAGTTGACTTCTGTAGGGCCAGCTGACTGCTCGACAACTCAAGAGTCGAAAGCGGTCGCGTGGAGTTGGAACCAACAACACGCCAACTGACCACCTCCGGAAGCGACCACGGATATTTCCAAGCGTTACCGCAAAGAGACCGGGTGACCAAGGAGCACCATCCCGCAACAGGAACGCCCTATTCGATCCCATTGAGCATTGGCGGAGGGAACAAGCTTGGCCAAAGGAATATTTTGAACCGGACTGTGAAATGAGTCATCTACTTGCGAGGAAGAAGTCAACGTCTTCCCTTCGCCGCAAGCGATCAGGGCTGAGCTCTCTTAAGGCTACCTCCAATACACCAAGCGACCAAAAGCCGAGGGAGGAGAAGAGTGCGCCATACCAAGATCCACGTTATTCGATTCTTCTTGAAACGAAGGGCAGTTATATGGACAAATCCGAACTGGATATCACAGATAGCAGCAAACGCCTCTGCAGAACATTGCTCGAGAAGGAACAGACTGTCCCGAAAGACTCATTGTTTCATGATGATACGTTTGATAAGGCCTGCCGAAAATTGCAAGATAAAAACGAAGCTAGGGTGATTCAAGATATTTCTCGACTGATTGTTCCTTCTGCAGAGACATTTGCTACATTTGGTGCCAAAACCTTGGACGTTTTAGTCGAAAGCGTCAATGAAGGCTGGAATAACTCCATCCCCGTTGTTGGCCCTCGTCCGCAGCCTGACTATGCTGTGGGATTTAGGCGCGCTGCATTCACGGAAGATCAACTTTCGAAGATCAAGCCCATTTTAGGTGACGTCATGGACCTGTCTTTCTTCATGGCCACATACTACATGTACTTTCCATTCCTAACATGTGAAGTGAAATGTGGCGCTGCAGGACTTGATGTGGCAGACCGGCAGAATGCTCACAGCATGACCCTTTCGGTCAGGGCAATTGTGGAGCTCTTTCGGCTTGTAAAGCGAGAACAAGAGCTCCACCGGCAAATTCTAGCATTCTCCATCTCCCACGACCATCGAACAGTAAGAATTTATGGCCATTACCCTGTGATGAAGGGTAAAGAGACTACCTTCTATCGCCACCCTATCCGCACTTTCGACTTCACTGAACTAGATGGCAAAGAGAAATGGACAGCATAATAAGTTCACCAAGAATGTCTATGACATATGGATGCCAATGCACTTTGATAGGATCTGCTCGGCCATTGACCAGTTACCGCCCGATTTCGATTTTGAAGTTCCGCTGCTTCTCCAATCTGGACTTTCGCAAGATCTAGAGAGTCCTCATCTCTCGCGACTGGAGCAAGAATCTTTATCGGAGGAGTGTGGCAGCCAGTTGGACAATGTTGATCCAGGTGAGGTCCCGGACACCTCTTCTAGTGGACAAGGAGCAAAAAGATTCAGAAGAAATGCTGCGAAATAACAAGAGCGGATGGTCTACTGGGCAGGAGGAGTCGAGAATGGCCGGAGAGAGAAGGGTCATTAGGTGAATTTCCACTGGTCGCTAACCTCCCTTTGTATGAACATGATCCCATGTCAGCCCGAGACACATGCCTGTCAGCCTTAATCATCGCACCCGCCATCAGTGATGCAGAATTCCCACGTCCCTCTCATAGTCCGTGTTCTGGTAGCCTAACGTACTGCGTTCGTTGCGTCGAGTGAATTGTTGGCTTTAGTAGATCCTCGGCATCTCCAGGGTATGTTGAACTAACACATTTTGGGAGTCACCATGTGACTGGATTACCTAATCACCCTCGCAAGAAGAGAGGTTCCAGCAGAACCACTCTTTTTCACACATCTATGAGCTGCAAATTCTGCAGTTGATCTTCATCGTATTCTTGATATAGTCATGCAGAACAAGAA